GGGGTCCAAACGTTAGAAAGAAGCCTGAGTGTACCTGGCTGGAGCCTGATTTGCACCACTGTGGGAGATCCTGAGCAGCTGATCTGAAGCCATCACTTCCCTTGAAGATAAAATCTGAGAGAACCTGAATCATAGACAAACAAGCTCTACACACCCAAGAAGAAAACAACCAAGACACATCAACAATACAGACAAAAGCAAATTTTAACTCAACAAAATAAAGCTTGATTTTCATACCAAAATCACAAGCAACAAAAGAAATACACATGCCAAAATCACAAAGAAAAATAATAAAATGGGAAATCAAAACAGCATGTTCCCACCAAACTCCACCAGTTCTGTAGAAGAGTTCTATAAGGAGAACCAACTAGAGATAACCCAGGACACAGAATTTAAAGAACAATCATAAACATGATCAAGGAATTCAATGAATTTAAAAAACACACAAACAAATCGAATAACTAAAAGAATATAGGGATAAAGTTCCAGCTGAATTCACAAAAGGGATAGAAACATTGAAGAAAACTCAGACTGAAATGAAGAAGGAAGTGAAAAACTCATTAAGCTAACCTGAAACAATAGAAGAAAGCCTCACTGCTAGAATGGATTAAATGTAAAAGAGAATATCCACCCTGGAGGATAAAGTTGAAGAATTGGACTTCAAGCAAAGATCATGAAAAAAAATTTAAAAAGGAATGGAATATGCAGGAGATGTGGAACAGGATAAAAAGATGAAATCTACATATCATAGTCATGGAAGAAGGAGAATTTCAGGTTAACAGTATTAACCAGATATTAAACGGATTGTAGAAGAGAATTTTCTCAAACTAAGGAAAGACATCCTCATACAAATACAAGAAGCACATAAAACACCAAATAGGACCAGAAAAGAAACTCCCCATGGCATAACATAGTAAAAGCAATAAAACTACAGAAAAAAGACTAAATATTGAAATCTTCAAAAGAAAAACAACTCACATATAAAGGAAAACACATCAGAATTAGAGCTGACTTATCAATGCAAACTGTGAAGGCCAGAAGAGCCTGGACCAAGGTATTTCCAGTGTTAAATGACTGCCGATGCCAGCTCAGGATACTTTACTGAGCAAAAATATCTATTATAGTTGAAGGGGAAAGAAAATCTTCAACAACACAATTAGTTTAAAAGAATACATGTCCACAAAATCAGCCCTTAAAGAATACTTGTAGCAATACAAAGAACAGACAAAGGAAAAACTATGTCTGAGGGACAACAAAAGAAACTAAATGAAGGTACAATTGTGGAAAACCACAAAATCAGACAAAGAATGTAAACAATAATCAAAATGATAGCAACTGTTTTACTAAATTCTTTCCTTCCTGCCCTCTGGGAGATGCCCTCAGTCACTGGCTCTCCCTGTTCTGACACTAGTTAATAAAACTGATCTAACACAGTTCTATTTGAATTTTTGCACAGTTTATATGACATCTGGGAGGGGATGACTTACAAAGAAATGGCTTCTCCTAACCCTCACACCATCCAAGCCCCTCGCCATACCCCGTGGGACACACCACCATTCACAGCTTCCCCAGTGGCTGCACCTTTTGCTCCTGGAGATCCAAAATGGCTGAGGCTCGAATCCTTTTTCCAGGGTGCCCTGCATCACCTATGCTTTTCAGAGGAATGAGTAATATTTAGCCTACACTCCACCCCTTTCCTCTCGTTCTTACAAACTTTTCACCGTCTCTTCTGCAAATTTCCCTGAGCCTTGGAGGGGGTAGCAGAAGCAGGGTGATCTCTCTTGTATTATGACAAGGTATCAATCTCTTGGGCCTCCCCATCATTCATCTTCAACATGGGGCTGCTGATCTATCTGGTGTTTCCCCTACTATAAAGACAAATGGAAGTAAGTAGGCATACCTGAACAAACATGAATGCAAATACAAATGCCCAGAAGATATCCTAGTAGGTGTACCATATTCATTAAACAGTATGCTTGCAATGGCTTCCCCACTGGGGCTTGTAGCCTTCCCTGACAGGGGGTTGGCCTGGTCTACACCACCAAATGTGTTCCACCCCTAGGAGCAGGCCTTATCCAATTAGAAATTTGTCATTTGTACATATGTTAATCAAGCCATTATTGCACTAGCAGGCATTGCTTTGCATGTCCATAGTCTGCAGCACATGGGGTCCATTGTTGAGCAGAATCATAGGGGATCCTTTTTCTCCAACCATTTTCATAGCACTTTTTGACACTATGAAAGTCATCCATCCACTGGCATGGACGTTTTAGCTTAGCCTTGGCTCTGTCTCTTCTTTTCCCATGCTCACATCATGCAGTGTCTTCAGCAACATGGCCTTACCGATTTTTCTAGTGTACAGCTGACAATAGTGGCAATAGCCTTTGTTAATTTGAGGGCTTCTTGGATCTCCCACTGACCAAGAGCTCATAGGGGGCCAACCCACCCCTGGTACTGTACATTTTCTTAACAGTTATGTAATTTGGGGAGCCTCTTTTTTATCTTACCCAACCATAAAACTCCCAAGAATCTTACAGCTATAGCTGGTCTTTGTTCCTTCAGGTATCTTTCAAATGGGTTTCACATTCATAAAACACTCAAAGGTTAACATCATATATTAAATCAATCATAGTCAAGGTTTAATACATCATGGAAAGGTTTTATCAATTTGTATTAATTGCTTTCTCCATAGAATTTTGTTAGGTACTACAGCATGGATAAGAGGCATTAATTTGGTTAGTCTATTACTATCTGAAGGACTTAGACTGATATTATTTGCTCCCATATCCCATAACCTCAAAAGCCAAGTGGCAAGGGGCTCTTTGACTGCTTGCTTGTCTTTCCTAGTTTCAACAGCTCCAGTTCAGAGTATTTTCTCCTACCTATAGTCCTGTTAACTTTTTCCTCTTTTCTATCAAAGGTTGAACCTGGGGGGCAACTTTAGCCACTTTTATTTTTAAGTTGTTTCTTTTATCACTACTATCTGTCTTTTCCTCTCAGTCTTTGGACTTCTGGTCCCCTAAACTTACACAAGTTAAAAATCTTCCATTTTTTCTCTCTCAAGCTCTGAGGCTAAGACTGAATTTACCAACAATTTCTTAGTCTTTCAGCCTCCCCTGAGGCTGCCTTCATTTCAGACAAATCTTTTATTATGCAAAGTGTCCACATCCCATCTCTGTTTTCCTCATTTGCTTGTAAGATTTTTTTCACGCTCTCTATAATCTTTAATGAGTTTTCAGATCCGTGTGGTAGCAGACCCCATTTTTCAAGCAACTGAGCTATTCTCCCACATTTACAAGACAGCTGTGGCCCAGGAATTTTCCCCTTTAAGTCCATCCACATCTGCACGGTCCATGTCATTCTTAATTACGTATTTCATGATACATTGTATAATGCATGAACACAGCTATCCCCCTTAAGCATATGGGGTTTGGCCACTCTCGTCCCTGGGCCCCCAACAGCTTCTCCTGGATGGGTCACATTACCTCACAGGACTCCTTGTAGCATGCATCTTCATCCTTCTGGATTTGGGACTCTGAACCCAGCTCCCATTTGACCAGCTCACCAGACGCTGTTAGAACTGTGATGTTTTCCCAAGCCCACATCCCCATGTTTTTCCTGTAGTTTGCCTAACCAGCTGTTCTATGCCAATTTGTTTCACTAAATTTTTTCCTTCCTGCCCTCTGGAAGATTGGCCCTCAGTCACTGGGTCTCCCAGTACTGAAGCTGGTTAATAAAACTAGCCTAACACAGTGTTATTTGAATTTTGCGTAGTTTGACACGGGTGTGGATGACTTGCAAAGAAATGGCTTCTCCTAATGCACACACCATTCAAGGCCTGCATCGCACCCAGTGTGACACTTTGCCATTCTCAGCTTCCCCAGTGGCCGCACCCTTCACCCTTGATTTTCCAAAATGGCCACAGATCCACCCCTTTTCCCAGGAATTCTCCTGTCACCCTAGCTTTTCAGAGGAATGAGTAATTTTCAGGCTACCAATACACATCTTTCAATAATAACTTTAAATATAAGTGGAGTGAACTCCCAAGTCAAAGGACACAGGCTAATTTAATGGAATAAGAAACTGAACCAATCTTTTTGTTCTCTGCAAGTAACCCATCTCGCGTTCAAGGACAGGCACTACCTTAAGGTGAAAGGATGGAAAAGAATATTCCAAGCAAACGGCACTAAGAAACAAGCATGGGTTGCAATTCTAATGTTTAGTTTGACAACATAGACTTCAAACTAAAACTGATCAGAAGAGATAAAGAGGGTAACTCCATTCTGATAAAAGGAACAATTAACCAAGAAGATATTACAATCATGAACATATATGCACTAAACTCTGGTGCACCCAAATTCATAAAAATAACACTACAGGACTTTAAGACACAGATTATCACCAACAATGAAAACATCTGTAGCTGAGTGTGATGGTACACACCTTTAATCTGAGCACCCTGGAGGCAGAGGCAGGAGGATCTCTGTGAGTTCAAGGCCATCCTGATTTACTTAGTGAGTTTCAGGTCAGCTGAGGCTGCAGGGAGATCCTGTCTCCAAAGACCAAAAAAATTTTCTCTATCAATTTTATGCTATTATTTTCTCTCAGAATGTACATTGTCATAATTATAATCACTGGACACTCTTAATGGTGAACTGCTGTTGAGAATGGACCCAAAATATTATATACGTAATGAATTAAATTTATAGCCACTAACTACTTTCAAATACAAATACAGAAGAAATTGAATTTTCAGGAACTATTATTTGCAGAGAAGAATTTCTTATTCTTGATTATACATGAAATTTATTAAATGGATCTCACTACAAATCAATATTCTACTACTTGATCTGAATATTCACACTATCAATTAGTAAATAAAACTCTCCATCTTGTTAGTTATCAGAGTATGTATTTCAAATATAGATACTCATTTTCCTCTTAATACTATGCCTATGAAAACTCATTATTATTTCAAGTCCTCAAAATAGCAAATGCCCCTATGAAAATATTTTCTTACCAAGCTGTCTCTTCAGAGCTTCCTTAATCTCATTATTCCTCAGACTGTAGATGAAGGGATTCAAAATGGGGATCACCACAGTGTAGAACACAGACACCACCTTGTTCTGTTCAGTGGAATAGGTGGACTTGGGCATCACATAAATGAATGTGGTGGTCCCATAGTACAGAGTGACTGTAGTGAGGTGGGAGGTACAGGTGGAGAAGGCCTTCTGGCGGCCCTCAGTGGAGGACATCTTTAGGATGGTGATGAGGATGTAGATGTAGGAGACAGCTATGATTAACACTGTGATCAGAGCAGCAGTGCCAGTAGAAAATGAAGTAATATTTGTAGGGACACTGACATCAGAACAGGAGAGTTCAACCAAAGGTGGGAAGTCACAGAAAAAATGATTGACTGTGTTTGGTCCACAGAAGACAAAATAAGAGTAGGAAAGGGAACAGGAGGAAGCATTAAGAAAACTACCGACGTAAGCCCCTATAAGCAACTGAACACAGACATGAGTGGACAGTTTGGTTGAGTAAAGCAGTGGGTTACAGATTGCCACAAAGCGATCATAAGCCATGACAGCCAGAAGGTAGCACTCAAGTGTCCCAAAGAAAGCAGCTGAGTCAAGTTGGATGATACACCCAAGGTAGGAGATTGTATTCCTCTCTGCCAGGAAGTTAACAAGCATATTGGGTGTGACAGAAGATGACATACCTATGTCAGTAGAAGCCAAGTGGCTCAGAAAAAAGTACATGGGGTGATGGAGCTGAGGATAGACTCTGATTAGCAAAATTGTGCAGAGGTTTGCAGACAGTGTCACCAGGTAGATGCACAGGATGATGATAAACAGGGTGACTTGAAGGACTGGGTCATCAGTCAAACCGAGTAAAAGGAACTCTGTCACTACAGTGTGATTTCTGTCTCCCAGGAGAGCCATGGGACAGAGTAGCTGATGCCACGACAAAGCTGAGATGAAGAAATTAAATGAAGGATTTTAAAAGTATGTGGTTTAGTTATTATTAATGTGAATTAAAATATCACCAACAAATATATAATTCAAGAAATGTTTTGAGAAGCAGTTGATAGTTTGTTCTGGATTCTCAGTTGTCATGTATTAATAAGCTATTGGCTTTAATTTTAAAAACAGAACTGCTAGAAATTAACTTAAATAATATATATCCTTTCTTTACATTCAAACAAATGTACTTTGTTTTATTGAGGCAAATATGTCTTTAAAGCTAAGGAGTTTAAAGTATGAGACTTAAGGGAACTGGAGAGATGACTCAGGAGTTAAGAGCACTGACTGCTTTTGAAGAGAAGCTGGGTTCAGTTCCTAGCATTCACATAATGGCTAACAACCATCTGTATCTCTAGTTCTAAAGGCTCTAACACTCTTTTCTGGCCTCTGTGGACACTCCACAAAATGGGAGTACTTATACACACAAGCAAAACACTCACACATAAAAATGTGGAACTTATGAAAATAACAGCATAGTTACAAATATAAAAATATTTCAAAATTTACAAGAATAAAATTATAAAACCAAGTCTTAAGTAATGGCTAACCTTTAGTGAGTTAGTGCTTACTGAATCACTAGCCCAGGGCAAAATTTGTATGTAATTCTATTTTCACTTCCATTTAATATTTTTAATTACTTTTATCACTCCAATTTTGCAGTTGAAAAACTTAATTTGAAAATTCTAATTAACTAAAAGTGACTTAATAATAGTAGAATTAAATTTGAAGCCTAGGTTGTTTGGATTAAATGTGTTCCTTAAGGTACTAATATTATGTGTGAGAAGTTGCAAAGAATTTGAGTGCAAATATTAATTTGGAGCCCATTTTAGGGTAAATTTTGGCTCTAAAAGTTAATGATTTTCTTTGCTGAAGAAATTGTTCATAAAGTTGATTTAATTAAACAATTGATCTATCAATTCATTTGAAATATTAATCTAATTACCATGTAAAAAGATGAATAATTTGTAGAACATTATCATTCATGGTCATTTGTTCAGATTCACCAATTCCTTTCCTAATGTGACAGTGCTTCTTGCTTAAGAATGGTGAAGGGAATTAATGCCATTGTCAACAAAGTGCACTGGTGAACACTTATTCAACCTAAACCTCTAATTTTACCCAGGTTCACCTGCTAGGTGAAGGTTGACTCTCCTCTCTGGAGATTTCTGGCTACATGTATTCATATTGTCCACAGTGTCTGGAGCCTATGATGCTCAAACCTTCAGTCAATTAACAGAGCAAATCTTTCCTCAAGATATTCACTGACCTTAAGCCATCAAAGCACTTCAAATCCAGTAAATTTACTAGCTTTTTCTTTAATGTTAAATTTATATGGTTTTTAGACACAATTTAGATTTTGTTTTGTCAGTGGATTAATTAATAAGGAGTCTTCAAAAACTTAGTTTTGTGCCTGATTCCTAGATTTTTTTTCCATTTGCATCATGATTGCCTTATTCCACATGGCTTCTTTCTCATCTATGGTTTATTAAAGCACAAAAATATTTCAAAAATTAAAGTATTCTCCATTCACCTACAATCCAAAATCTTACCTCTTGAACTGGGAATTCACTGTAGAGTAAGATAAAAAGGTCGTTAGGATTTTATAACTTCTAAGCAGTCTCCCACTAAATGATTTATCACTGAGGATCAGTCTCTGAAGAGGCTCTGGATTCAAGTGTGAATTCAAATCACCAGGGATCATTAGCTCATTCCCAGGTGAGTACAGTGGTTCATTTCACACAAACAACTGATTTTCAAGGAGGCTGTTAATCACATGTGATATCCTTTTATGTTCATGTAAGTACTGGGGTACTTTCACTTGATAATTGTGGGATGTATATGTTAATAAATTATCATGAGTAAATATTCATTCTAAGATAATTTGATATTCAGGTTAGAGAATATCAAACCAAAAATGTAAAATGGTCCATTTTTTATTCTTTCATTTAATTCCCATTCATTTATTAGTACTACGTAGTGATTGATATAAGACATTCTGTAGGTACTTTGCTGAATATACAATGAATGAGATATAAAGTTGAGTTTAAAATAATGATTAAAATTACACACTGTTTCAAAATCCAATGACATAAACTGTTGTTGTCACATATAAACTATGAGTTGGAAGAGCTACATAATAAGAATTATTATCTCCTAATTTCCACCTCAGACAGGTTCCAACTGGTTTTGTGTTACATGCTAAAATGGAGGATGGTAGAAACACTGAGCTTTGATTACAATTCTCAGTCCAACTCTCTTGCCAATTTTAATACCATAAAGTTGCACATTGCCCCCTTAATAACAACTTGGCATTAGAGTAGACCACTGATTCACTACATGAACCAACTTCCATTCAATCTTCTTCTTTCCATACCAGAAGATGGAGGTAAAGACATGAGAATCAACAGACTCTGAGTCCAGACAGGTTTTGACTCACAGACCAGTGAACAAGAGAGATCTTTTTCCAAATATGATGGAAAGTGGAGACAAATGCTCTTAGTTATCATCTGGCTTCCATAATTCTTCAGTGACAATATATACACCTCCAACATTCATATCACACACACACATATACACACACACACATGCACACACTCTACACATAAGTAACATTAAAGGCTTCCACAGACATCTACATGCCTAAATCTTGCATACATTGTTTCTTGACTTTCCATCATTATTTTTTCCTTTCTCTTTCTTTTTCTTTCTTAATACTCTCATGTAATCCAAGATGATTTTGAATTTCCTATGCATATGAAGATAATTAGGATTTCTTATCATTCTACTTCCATCTCCTGAGTACCGGGATTGCAGGTACTGGATACCACACATAATCGATACAGTGTTGTGGATCAAATCCAGGGCTTCATGGAAGATAGGCAAACTTTCTGCTATGTGCCCAAGCCCAAATTATCTCAGTGTATCTTGATCATTTGCTGAGCTAAGTATATGTACACATCTTTTTGTACAGATTGAAGAGCTAAGCCTGAGTTTAAACTACTTTTCCAAATGTATTCATGGATCAAAATGTGTTATCTTTTAGGTCAGATTGTGATAACAGCCAGTTAGATGGGTTCTTTTTGTTGATCAGGTAGATGGGTTCTTTTTGTCAGGCCTCTTGGGGTAAGTCTATAGCGTAGCTCTCCACGCCAGGACTCCCTAAGACAAATTCACCCTTCCATCCCTCCCGCCGTTCTATACTCCTAGTTCGGGCCCTGTGCCATCCCTAGTCTTGGGGCCCCAGACACCTGGGGAACCAATACTGCTTCCTGATCCTTCTAACCCAGACCAACTCAGTCCCTTTCTTGGGCTCCAGGAGCACGGCTTCTGGTCCTGGCACCGCCCTCACCTCTCTCTGTTTCCCTGGGCCTGCACCACCGGCTAACTCCTAGCCTGCACTTCTACCCTCAGGCCTCTTGGGGTAAGTCTATAACGCAGCTCTCCGTGCCGGGACTCCCTAAGCCACATTCACCCTTCCATCACCCCGCCCCGCACCATTCTATACTCCTAGTTTGGGCCCTGAGCCATTCCTAGTCTTGGGGCCCCAGACACCTGGGGAACCAATACTGCTTCCTGACCCTTCTCACCCAGACCAACTCATTGCCTTTCTTGGGCCCCAGGAGCACCGCTTCTGGTCTTGGCGCC